CAGTCAACACAGCAGCTTACTTGATCAACCGAGGTCCATCGGTTCCATTGGAGCACAGAATACCAGAGGAGGTATGGTGCAGAAAGGAGGTAACCCTCTCACATCTCAAAGTTTTCGGTTGTGTAGCTTATGTGCATATAAGTGATCAAGGCAGGAATGAGCCTGATCCCAAGTCCAAGAAATGCACATTCATCGGGTATGGTGAAGACGAGTTCGGCTACCGCATTTGGGACAACGAAAACAAGAAGGTGATCAGGTGCAGAGATGTGACATTCAACGAGAAGGTGATGTACAAGGACATGCACAAGACAGATTTCAGTGACTCAGAGAGCGAGTCAACATTTGTAGATGCAGATGATGTCCCAGATAACCTCTCGGAAGAACCCAATGCAGAAGGTCCTCAGCCAGAAGAGCCTGTTGGACAGAATGGTGCGCAGGAGCCTGACGCACCAGCTCCAATATTAAGAATAACTTCTCGTCCTCATGTACACAACAGGAGATATATAAACTATCTGTTGCTGGCAGATGGAGGGGAGCCTAAAACAAGTGGGAGTTTGCTGCGAAAGAAGAGAAGAAATCTCTGATCTCCAACCAGATATGGGGACTAGCTGAGTTGCCCATAGGGAAGAAGGCACGTCACAACAAGTGGGTGTATCGAGTGAAGAAGGAACATGGTGGTTCCAGAAGATACAGAGCCCGACGAGTTATCAAAGGATTTCAACAGATTATCCAAGGAAGAAAGGATCCAGCGGATATGTTGACAGAGGTAGTGACCTATCAGAAACTGGAGTTGTGCGCAACTTCAGTTGGCCTTCATGCATAGATGATGAGGGCGGAGCCACACAGAAGAGGAGCTTGATGGGATAGCCTGTTGTCGTCGGTTTGATCTCCAAGTGGGAGATTGTTGAGATCAGGTGGAGACCAAACCTCCGTAGGCGAGCGGAGCTGCAGGCGAGGAGAGCTCGAAGTCACGGCGGCTTCAGGCGAAGTCGAAGATGCGCAGGTGAGCTCGAGCTTGGCGAACGCGATGGTGGCTTTGGGCGAACGCGACCCTCGACACCGACCCCCGCGTTCGCCTCCCACCCTCGCGTCGGACATCCGCTGGCGACAGGCTGTCGCCAGCCCACGAATTCCAGCCTGTCTCGTTCGGCTATAAAACCCCCCCGATGCCCTAGCTCCAGTAGCTTCTCCTCCCCTCGTTTTTCTCTGGCGGCGGATTCCCCTAACGCAATAGCGTTCTCCCCCTAACGCAGCAGCGTTCTCTCAAATCGCAGCAGCGATTTCTAATCTCCAGCTCTCAAATAGTGTTTTGAGGGGAGATTAAGAAAGGGATTTAAGAAGAGAGAGAGAAAAGAGAAAAGGGGATTTTATAGTGGGTATTAACACTGTAGCTACAATATTCAATTTGAGAGATCCCAGTTTAGGGATTTGCTCTTGATTTGTAATTTCTTGTTAGATTAAATAAGAAATTGACTGTGTGGCTCCCGAGGACGTAGGCAGTAGCCGAACCTCGTAAATCTTGTGTACTGTTCTCTATTCTGCGTTTCTGTTGCATTAGGGGTTTAGGCGTTAAAATTCCCAACAACTGGTATCAGAGCGTGAAACGATCTAGAGAAAGTCAGATTCAAGTGTGAGCCATGGCCGCAGATGAGGGAAAAGTGAGAATAGAGAAGTTTGATGGATCATATTTCGGATTCTGGAAAATGCAAATAGAGGATTATCTGTATCAGAAAAATCTGTATCAACCTCTCTCGGGGAAGAAGCCGGAGGGTATGAAGGAAGAAGATTGGAATCTTCTGGACAGAAAAGCCCTCGGAGTTATCAGATTGACATTAACTCGCAATGTTGCGTTCAACATAGCGAATGAGAAGACCACGGCCAGCACTCTCAAATATGTATGAGAAGCCATCAGCCTCAAATAAAGTCCATTTGATGAGGCGGTTGTTCAATCTGCGAATGGCGGAAGGTGCATCGGTAGCACATCATCTCAATGAACTCAATACAGTCACGACCCAATTGAGTTCAGTTGACATTGAGTTTGATGAGGAAGTTCAGGCGTTGATACTTTTGTCTTCCCTGCCAGAGAGTTGGAACGCTACAGTCACGGAAGTGAGTAGCTCATCGGGAAAGAAAAGGTTGAAGTTCAACGACGTTCGTGATTTGGTTCTCAGTGAGGAGATCCGACGGAGAGAGACGGGTGAAGCTACAACCTCTTCAGTATTGCATACAGAGTCAAGAGGTAGAAGTTAAACCGGAGGAAATGGATCAGATGACAGGAGATCCAAATCCAGAAATCCCAACAGTTCGAAGGCTATTGAGTGTTGGAAGTGCGGGAAAACCGGGCACTACAAGAATCAGTGCATGAGTGCACGGGAGGAGTGGGAGGCAAATGCAGATGTGAACGTTGTCTCCACCTCAGGAGGAGATGATGCGCTGATATGCTCTTTGGAGAGCAAGGAGGAGTCTTGGGTGTTGGACTCGGGAGCATCATTCCATGCTACTTCTCAGAAAGAATTCCTCGAGAAGTATATCCCCGGAAACCTTGGAAATGTATATCTTGGTGACGATCAAGCATGTGCCATTATTGGCAAAGGTGTAGTGAAGATTAAGCTGAATGGGTCAGTATGGGACCTGAAAGATGTCAGGTATATTCCCGACCTGAAAAGGAACTTAATCTCAGTAAGCCAGCTGGCTAGTGAAGGCTACACGTCGACTTTCCACGGCGATGACTGGAGGATTTCGAAGGGCGCAATGACGATTGCCAGAGGCAGGAAGACTGGTACTCTGTATATGACAGCGGGTGCACGTTGTTCAATCTCAGTTGCGGTAGGCAATGAGACTTCAAAGCTGTGGCACCAGAGACTCGGTCATATGAGTGAAAAGGGGATGAAGGTTATGCACACAAAGAGAAAACTCCCAGGTTTACAATCAGTAGAGATTGATATGTGTGAAGAATGCATACTTGGAAAGCAGAAGAGAGTTAGCTTTCAGACAAGTAGCAGACCCCCCAGGAAGCAGAAGCTAGAGCTTGTTCACTCAGATGTTTGGGGACCAACAACCACCGCGTCGATTGGTGGGAAACACTACTTCGTGACTTTTATTGATGATCACTCTCGGAAAGTATGGGTCTACTTTCTGAAGAAAAAGTCAGAAGTGTTTGAGGCTTTCAGAAGATGGAAAGCCATGGTCGAGAATGAGACCGGTTTGAGGGTAAAGAAACTCAGAACAGACAATGGTGGTGAGTATGAAGATACCAGATTCAAGAAGTTTTGCTATGAGCACGATATCAGAATGGAGAGGACCGTGCCCGGCACGCCTCAGCACAATGGTGTGGCTGAGTGCATGAATAGAACGTTGACAGACAGAGCCAGAAGCATTCGGATGCAGTCAGGTCTACCGAAGCAGTTCTGGGCAGAAGCAGTCAACACAGCAGCTTACTTGATCAACCGAGGTCCATCGGTTCCATTGGAGCACAGAATACCAGAAGAGGTATGGTGCGGAAAGGAGGTAACCCTCTCACATCTTAAAGTTTTCGGTTGTGTAGCTTATGTGCATATAAGTGATCAAGGCAGGAATGAGCCTGATCCCAAGTCTAAGAAATGCACATTCATCGGGTATGGTGAAGACGAGTTCGGCTACCGCATTTGGGACAACGAAAACAAGAAGGTGATCAGGTGCAGAGATGTGACATTCAACGAGAAGGTGATGTACAAGGACCTGCACAAGACAGATGACGGTGACTCAGAGAGCGAGTCAACATTTGTAGATGCAGATGATGTCCCAGATAACCTCTCTGAAGAACCCAATGCAGAAGGTCCTCAGCCAGAAGAGCCTGTTGGACAGAACGGTGCGCAGGAGCCCGACGCACCAGCTCCGATATTGAGGAGAACTACTCGTCCTCCTGTGCCTAACAGCAGATATATGAATTATATGTTGCTGACAAATGGAGGGGAGTCTGAAAGCTTTGATGAATCTTGTCAGAGTGGAGATGCGAGCAAGTGGGAGTTTGCTGCGAAAGAAGAGAAGAAATCTCTGATCTCCAACCAGACATGGGGACTAGCTGAGTTGCCCATAGGGAAGAAGGCACGTCACAATAAGTGGGTGTATCGAGTGAAAAAGGAGCAAAATGGTTCCAGAAGATACAGAGCCCGACGAGTTGTCAAAGGATTTCAACAGAATATCCAAGGAAGAAAGGATCCGGCGGATATGTTGACAGAGGTAGTGACCTCTCAGAAACTGGAGTTGTGCGCAACTTCAGTTGGCCTTCATGCATAGATGATGAGGGCGGAGCCACACAGAAGAGGAGCTTGATGGGATAGCCTGTTTGGCGTCGGTTTGGTCTCCAAGTGGGAGATTGTTAGGTTTGGGATGGATACCAACCTTCGACGGCGGAGGAGCTCCGACGAGCTCGGAGATGTCGCAGGCGAACGCGACCCTTAGATGGCGAACGCGACCCTCAGTCGGCGAACGCGATGGTGGCTTTGGGCGAACGCGACCCTCGGTGTTTGGCGACTCCGACCCCCGCGTTCAGAGCTCCGACCTCCGCGTTTCAGCGCCCACGCTCGCGTCTGTCGCCAGCCTGTCAAATTTTCGGCTATAAAAGAAGCCCCCCCGAGCCCTAGGGTTTGTGCTTCTCTCCCCCGATCTTCTTGGCGGCGGATTCCCCTAACGCAGTAGCGTTCTCCCCCTAACGCAGCAGCGTTCTCTCAAATCGCAGCAACGATTTCTAATCTCCAGCTCTCAAATAGTGTTTTGAGGGGAGATTAAGAAAGGGATTTAAGAAGAGAGAGAGAAAAGAGAAAAGTGGATTTTATAGTGGGTATTAACACTGTAGCTACAGTATTCAATTTGAGAGATCCCAGTTTAGGGATTTGCTCTTGATTTGTAATTTCTTGTTAGATTAAATAAGAAATTGACTGTGTGGCTCCCGAGGACGTAGGCAGTAGCCGAACCTCGTAAATCTTGTGTACTGTTCTCTATTCTGCGTTTCTGTTGCATTAGGGGTTTAGGCGTTAAAATTCCCAACAGCTTTTAGCTTTCTTCTGATGTTTCGTTAAATTCTTATTAATGAAACAACAAGGGTTTGTCAAAAATCACTAGCGGTATGTGCTTATTCACAAGTACACATATGACATGGTTTAGTTTTTATTTTATTTTATGACATGGTTTAGTTTTTTTTAATTGCCTATTCAAATTTCTAGTGAACTTTTGTGTGTGCGTGTGTAGGCTGGCAATGGATGTTCTCTCAAGTGCCGATGTGCAGGCTGTCAGAATTCATATGGCAAAAGACAAGGTAAATGAATTCTATTTAGAAATTCATCAGTTGACAGGAAACAAATTTGTTGGTATTTAGTTGTAATAGAACTGCTAACGTTACTTTCAATATGAGATGGCTGAATACTGCAATAATGTACTGATATTATTCGATGTTGTAATACAAGCCTCGTATTGATGTATGGTACTTCAGTGCACGACAAATAAATGTAGGATGTATGTAAATACTTTGAGTCAAAAGGTGAACACATTTTATGAGACTAATGGATTTGTGTTTGCTAGTTGATTGACTCTACAATAAAGAAACTGATATTATTTGAGCTACGTTCATCATTTAATGTGAATTTAAGATAATGGATTTCTTTTTGGCATAAATTGGTAGGGTGATGCATATTTTCTATTATTTGCATCTTTTTTCTTCAGGAACCGAGCTGGTTATCCAATCGGTAAGTAGGAGGGGCAGGAAGCCTAAGAATTCAATTGATGGGAGGATATTGATTGGGAATTCAAAAACAATCGACCATCAACCTATTCAAAGCTCAATGTAAGAGTCTGAAATTTTGCGTTAGTGCATCCAGATGTTCATTTATTTTTCAATTTATTTTACCGAATCATGTCATTGGATTCACAGGGAAAATGGTCAGATTGTTTTAAATCATGATAATCAATTACCAAGCATAGTACCAGGTAATTTATTCAAATTCTGAAGTTCTTTCAGTTATCTCATCTCATTTGAGTAGTAAACTTCTGCTTTTGTTGATTCAGAAACCAGAGAACGTCAAACTTCATAGGAAACTTTGATTCTTAGTAGAGTTATGCCTGAAGCTAATGAGAATGTGAGTTTATCGGAGGCTCAAAATGCTGCTGACGCTAGTTCTGCACAATCGGAGTTAATCCAAGGATCATCAGATCGCAGTGATGAGTATATGCAGCATCGAAGCCCAATACACCTAACTAGAGGCTCTCTTGTTCTCTGACAATCTGATCTCCTAAGTATAGAGATAGGCATATAATTTAGAATTCTAGCAGACTTTTATTACTGTCAACAACAATTTTGACAGGGTCTCTTTTGGTATTGAAGGTATTAGGATGGTGGTGTTGCTTTGCTGATGTTCTCTTCTACGACATTGTTATCTGCTGCAATATAATATGGTATGAAACTCATTAAATGTTTATATATTCTTAGACAGAAAATTGACAGAAAATTGATGAGGTTGATCCTTGGCTTTAACTATGCATAGGAGGTGGCTGAGGGGTGAGCAGTCGAGCTGTAGAGTCATCCTTCTCCTTCCAGATGTCGGCTGACGATTGGAAGGGAGGTCACTCAAGTACCAAAGAGAAATGGCTTCTTAGTATCCTGGATTTGATAGAAGAGGTAAGGTGTAGGATAGGTCGGCTGCTTGGCCGTCCTTCTCTCTCCAGGTGACGGCTGGCGATTGGAGGAGAAGTCATTCGTGCACAGAAAAGCATCATGGCAATCTTCTGGGAAATGACTAGTAAGAAAAATAAGCGGCTTGCGCACGAGGTTTGTCAGAATGGAGATCTTGATGGGACTAATCAATACTGTTGTATCGATTGATATCTGAAGTGAACTTGGTCGGCTATGATCCCTTTAGTCGAGGCGGGTTAATCTGCGAGCCATCATTATGATTTGGCGACCCGATAGTTGAGTGAGCTTTGGGTCGGGCGTATGGTCGAGTCATCTGCTCGAGGAGTCGTCTTAATTGCGAGGGGGAGATTGATCCCGCACTTCGAGTTGGTCATGATGACCCTTGATCGAAATATGGCTTGTCTGCTCGTCTGGTCGAGAGACTTGACCTTGGCTGGGCTTTTGAGCCTCTAAGTTGGTTTGGACCATAGCTCTCTTAGGCTTATGCAGACATTATCCCGACGTCTCTAGTCCTTTGTGAGTAAATAAACCATAAAACATATATGATAGTATATATATATAATATATAATATATACTATTATATATATATATATATATTAATATATACTATATATATATATATATATATACTATATATATATATATAGAGAGAAGAGACTGAGGAGAGAGAGAGAGACGGGAGAGGAGAGAGAAGAAGCAGAGAAGAGAGAGAGAGAGCAGAGATAATAGGCTATCCTTGTCATAGGAAGGGGATTTCGCTACTATAATAACGCCTCTAAAATCAAGATTGAGCCGACAGTTGTGGATAGATCCGTTCTGTTGAACTTGACTACATAGGTTCTAAAACACCAAACACACCAGTTGGGTGAACCCGTCGTCGGTTTGACCCTTCATCCACTCGTATCAATTTTTAACGGTTTGACATGAATAGAACTTGTTCCACAGGCTCGATTGGAGGTCAAACGACGACGGATTTCACCCCAAACCTTTGTGTGTTTTGGGTTTTAAAGAATATGTAAAAAAAAGAAAAAATCAGTTCAACGGAGGGATCATCCACAATGTCGCTCAATCATGTGATTTTTAGAGCGTCAGAGGATGAATCCCTTCCCTATGACAAGGATACCCATATCTCAATATAATATACTATATATATATAGTATATAGTATATATATATAATATATTAGTATACTATATATATAATAATAGGGAAAGTGAATCTAAGGTGACAACTTAGGCCTCCCACCTAAGAGGACGCGGCCTAAAATCACATCAATTTCTAATGTTTTTTGCGATCGGCTCGTTGAATTTTTGATCTACACGTTCTTAAATCCAAACACACCAATTTTTGGGGTGAACCAATCATGTTTTGAACGCCTTTATCACTCGTTGTATTTTAACGTTTCGAGATGCGAATAGAACTTTTTGCACGGCTCAACGATATGGTCAAACCACACGCGTGTTCACCCCAAAATTGGTGGGTTTGAGTTAAGCAACGTCGTAGATCAAGTTCAACGGATCGGATCGTAAAAAAATTTAGGAAATGATGTTGATTCTAGGCCGCGTCCTTAGGGTGGAGCCTAGGGTGTACTTTAGATTCACTTTTCCCTATGATATAATAATATATAATATAATATATATATATATATACGTATATAATATGTAGAGAGAGAACTGGAGTATGCTTGGCTACAAGCACCAAGTTGTTAAGTTTTTGTGCTGGTAGTGAGGTGAACACCATTCTCCTCTACTCATTAATAACGGGCTCATGAATTTCCCATGGATGGGGGAGTGAGTTGGGAAATTGAATGATGTTGGAGGGAATATGGCACCTCACCTACCAAGCATAAAATTTGTGCTTGAATACATATATAACTCATTTTTCTCCATAGGATTTTAATGAGCTGAGAGGGATGTTGTCACCTCACTACTAAGCACAAAACTTGTGTTTGATACCAACGTATAAACTTATGCTTGATGAACGTAATCGACCGTAAATTTCTAAATGCGAGTTTTAAATAATTTTCTTGAATTTAAATGATAAATATTATTTTCTTAAAAGTATTTGTATTATTCAATTTCCTCTAGACTTTCAATGAATTTAAAAAATACGGTATATATTCTATTTAATAGTTTTGCTAATTATAAATTTTTATTTTTGGTAAATTTTTAAATAAATAGTTAATTATTCGATTATTATTATTTTTTATTATTTGATCATAATTTTAATATATATTTTGAATAAATTTTTATGAAATATTTTTAAATTATTTAAGGGGGTATTTCTTCCCTGTGTTTTTCTTTCTCAAACCGTATTGTCACTCTGTATTCTCTCTCCTCTCTCCCCTAAATTCCCAAATTTCACGCAAATCCCAAACCTGTGGTTCCCATATTCACATACCACATCCTCGCCCAACCAACCTATCAGTACTCTCTCTTTCTCATCTAAAATCTCCCCTCGGTTCTCACTCTCTCTCTCACTATCACTTAATCTCACACTCAATCACTATCAATTTCTCCTCCCTCTCACAATCGACAAACACACCTATCAACTTCAATCCTCCTCTTCCCCGGTCAACTCCCGCAGCCACCCTTCCACCCTCCTTCTCCTCCTCTCTTCACCCAAGAAACCCACAAGCTCACTCTCCCTTCTTCTCCATAGAACTCTCTCTCTTCACCATCCTCTCTCCACCCACCTCAACCCGCCATCTCCGCGCGACACTCGCCGCTGGCCTAGAGTCGACGAACCGCCACCCCATCAAAACCCCACCCCCCGCCAAGCTCCCCTCCCCCAGCTCCGCCATACGTCGTCAAACCAACCCGCGCCAACTAGACGCCGCCTCGAGCTCGCCCAACCCGCTCCTCCCCGCTCCTTCCCGCCATCGTCGCCTCAAACCCGTTCGTCGCTCACCGTCACCTACCAGCTCCTCCTCCCTAACAACACCCGCGCAGCCCCCGACCCTCCTCAACGCCCGCCTCATCGCCCAAGCCCTCTCGTCGCACACTCTCTTAAGCTCTGCCCCCCCCCCCCCACTCCGGCGCCTCCATCAACCGGCAGCACCCCCCGTCGCCCATCCGCTGCCAACTCACACCACCTCGTCGCCGTTGACGTCAACTGTCTGCTCCACAGCGACCAACTCTCGCCGATCTCTAGCGCTTGACACCACCCAAGACCGAACCGCTGCCCCTCCCTCTCTTCAGCTCCTCCCTGCTCGCGCGCCCATTCCAAGCCTGCGAGGCTCCTGAGACCAGCCTCCAGCACGAAGCTCCCTCCACCAAAGCCTCCGCCTCGCCGTGCCTCAGCTCATCAACCGCCGCTGCCTGTCTTGTAGCCGTAGCCTCCTCGACCCGCTACATGCGTCGCTGAAACAGTAAGCAACAAACAACGGACAACCCGCCACTTTCAATCGATCCACCGCATCCGCGAAACAGCCGCCTCGCTCCCAGGCCCTTGGCCTCCGTAGGCAAGATCCCACTTGCTCAGAACTGGAATTTTTATAAATTTATTATGAATTATCCTGTAATATTTAGGCATCTGTGATATAACTATCTGTGTGGGTTTGTTTGATGAATAAATTAGAATAATCATAATTATGGTGATTAAATGTGATTATCAGAATAATTAGATAAATAAAGAATTTCTTTTGACGTAGATATTTTTGGATAATTAATAATAATAAAGAAATTATTTGAGAAAAAAGAATCATTTTATAATAACTAATAATTAAATTTTAAAATATTATCTTGTTGGAAGAAATTTATTTTAGAATGATAAATATTAAAAAAAAAAATTATTATTGTGGAAAGTGGCTAATTTTGAATTAATGAATTTTATCTTATAAAAGATTATCATCCAACACGCTCGTGGTCGCAAGCTGCTCTACAGCGTAGAGCCAATCTATATCTTGTCCAGGCCTTCTGGAACTTGATGCTCCTGGATCAGTGGGGTCTTGCTAACAGATGAGGAGGCATATCGTCAGAAGGAAGAACTCGGCTTGGGTATTCATCAATACACTGTTCGTCCTCCTTGCTTGAGTTTCAAACAAACTTACGCAAAGCTCGTCCCGAGTGCACTGAGGAATCTATCCTGTTGAGCGGTCTGTGAAGGTATCCCATGAAACGGTCCTCCAATGAGCCTTCTCGCATCCCAAATCCGAGCTGTATCGGAGCTGAACACCATGAGATCTTACCCATCTTGCAGGGGAATACGAGCGTCCCGTAAGGATATCTCCGTGACTTAAGGAACTCCTCTGCTGCAAAGGGTCATCGGCACCAGAGGAAAGAAGGAGGTCCATATACCAGAACTCTCTAACACCAGGCTCCGCAGCGAGGAGGGATGCTGGGGCTGAGGCTCCCGCTGTAGCTGCCTGCTAGAGGCTGCTGATTTTGTGGCCAACCCCGTGAATATCCAAAAAGGCCTGGCGCGGATCTACGATCGGGGGGCACTTGGCCCTGCTACTAGACGGGTTTATCGTTCTTATGAGTTCTACGCCACCATATTTCTGAGAAACGAGAGGATCAAAAAAAATTTAGCGGTTAAAATCAAACAATATATTGGAAAATAGTAACTAAAAAATATTTTAGCTAATACATAGAAACTTAATTGTAGTCTTACAGATCTAAAAATATATGTATTTGAATCGTTCAGTACATCTTACTAGTTGGAACTCGGACGTGACCTACTAGGCCACCACTAAAAGCTGTCACCCCCGCTTTCAAAAGATACCAGGGAATCGGAACGTGAAACAGTCTGCGACGTATTAAAATTGAGAAGAAATATACACTATCATTTTTTCTTTTTTTTCCTTCTCAATCCAATACGCTAAGCGTCAATACATAAATCTCAATACACAGGTCCCCCGATCCCACAATCAGGCAAAATATAAAGACAATCCAGAATAAGAATACAATATATCATCCATGGTGAATCCATCCCGAGATAAAAATATGGGTCCAAACATTCCGCTTATTTACAAAAAGTCCAACTAGAAAATAAGAAATACATAGCATAAAGAAAGTACTGTTAACTACTAAACCATCATCAAACTAAAAAAGTACGGTAAAAGAGTTTTAATGTCCAACTATACCTATCGGAGAAAACTAGCTATGGGGCCTTCAGCTGGTTCTTCTACTCCTTCTGTAAGACCCTCTTGCTAAGAATCATCTGGCTCCTCGTACGATTCCCGAACTGAGGTTGCTGTCCGGTCTCCTAAATCTGACGTACACCAGAAAATTAGGTAGTACGTCAGGCGTGTATAAACACACGTAAGATCCCCAAGGCAAGAAACAACAATAACAAATTGATAATCATATGCATTGGTCAATGCGATAACACAAACCTAGAAACTAGAACATATGATGATATAATAACGTATAGGCATATCAACTAGAATACTAATAATCAGAAGAATCAAAAATCAAAAGTAACAAGATCAGCAGGGTAGCCGATCAGAAACCATCAAGGCAACAAGGTTATAC